TATTATGTGCGGGTGTCAGTTACATGTGTATGTAGGTTGGTATGGCTGCTGTAAATTTAGGAATTTGGTAAGTGAGCATTAGGTGTAGGGGTGTACTGTATGCGTGTTAAGTGTGAGTGTGTGTTGTATGGGGAAATGTGTATAGGTCCTGTACACATGTTAAAAGTATAAAAGAGCTTCAGGACAATGTTGTGGTGTAGAAACTATTTAAAATGGTATACCAGTAGGGGAGAAAATCAAATATGCAGGTTTACTGGGCAACTTGAGTAAGAACGAGATGAAATTGTCTTTGAGGTGGTTGCGCTGGGGGACGCCGATATTGGTTGTCGCTATCTAGAAAGAGTAAGTCGATCGCCGATAGTGGTGATAGTTGAGGGTCTTTGACGGGTAAAGTGTTGAGTCACCGACATTGGTGACGGGAGAAAATAGTGTTGGTGTGTGTGAGCGGCCTACTAGGCGTCAAGTGATAGAAGGTTAATTGATGGTAGCCAATACTGGTGACAGATGAGAACATTTATACGGTTGAGTGGCCTAGCTTGGGTCAAGGGGGTGATGTCGGGGGATGGTCACACCTAGCATGAGTAACACTTAAAAATACCAAGGGATACGTATTAATCCTGTGTAGTTAAATGGTAATAAGACAGTATGACTTAGCGACGGAAAGGGAAAATATATAAAAATGGGGTTTTGAATTGGTTTGCATATGATACTTATAACTTAATTTTTACTGTACTGAGTTATATGTACTCACTCTTTATTATTTACGGATAAAGTAGGGATGGAGTCGGGATCGGAGTTATCGGTTTTCAAGCCTAGCATATAGAGCAACAGTGCAAGAATTTCTACTAGTAGAATTGAGTGTGTAAATAATTGGTAGTAGTGTAGATTGTGTGCCTACTGGGGATGTATGAGTTTGTACTTCACTGTAATGACACATTTATAGTTGAAGGTTTATATTTGACATTGAGCAGTAGATTGTGGTAGTTTCTTTTCTATGTGTGCGATTGATTTGGAATGAGATTTTAGTATTTGACCATTGAACTGTTTGAGACTATGCCGTTAAAAGAAAAACAACGGGGCGTTACAATAACAGTGTTAGATATTTTTTCCCTCATGGCAATTGCATTGTTATATGACGCTTTAACTCGGTTGTCTTTGCTACATTAGGCAAAACTAAGAAAAAAAATTCATTCAAGATATCTCTGTGGTATGAGAATTTTCAGATGTATTTTTTGATGAACTACCCGGACTACTAGTACGTAGAAAAGTTGAATTTACCATAGATTTTCAGCTTGACACCTAACCCATCTCAGTTGCCCCTTACCATATAAATCAAGTAGAGATGGAAGAGCTAATAAAACATATCAAAGAATTACAGGATAGTGGGTTCATCCGACACAATATATCTCATTGGGGTGCTGGAGTTGCATTTGCAAGGAAGGGAGATGAGTCCCTAAGGTTATGTATTGACTATAGGGAATTGAATAGAGTCATAATCAAGAACAAGTATCCCCTTTCCGAGATTGATGATCTTTTCGATAAGTGTTCAAGTTTTCTCCAATATTTACTTGTGTTCTAGTTACTATCAGGTAAAGATCAGGGTAAAGAACATTCCCAAGACAGCTTTCAAGACCAGGTAAGGACAAGATGAGTTCTTGGTCATGGCATTTGGGCTAACTAATGCACCAGCCATTTTTATAGACTTGATGAATAGGGTTTTTAAGCAATTATTAGATCAATTCGTCATTATGTTCATCGATGATATTTTGATCTATTTAAAGAGCATAAATGAATACACTCATCACCTGACTCAAGTTAATTTATTGGGGCACATAATATATCTTTTTCTTCATATTTATTCCGTATAAATAGCTTAAAAATATAAAAAAAATATTTAAATTTAATTTTTTTAATTATGAAAGTATTTAATTGCTAGTTTTAATTGTCTTATCAATTATTTAATTTACCTAACTGTATAACCCTCATTTGTTAATTCGTTTTGTAATAAATGCCTCAATTATGTTTCTTGATGTACGTATCGTTTATTTATCTGACTTACCGTTGATTTGTAAATATGATATATTGGTATGTAACTGGTAATTAGTTAATGGTGTGAATCTATATATAAAAACCTTACTAGGTATCTTTGAAAAATGTGGATGGACCTGGTACATAGAGAACTCTACTATGAACATTACTTCAATCGGACAGAACTGAGAAGTCTCATACCAAAATGATTTGGAAGATATAGTTCACCCTCCTACCAGACAGGATATCGATGTGATTACATGTTTGGCACCCATTATCAAGAGGAGTATGGGAACGGTCGGTTAATTGACAAATTTAGATATTGGATTCACGCGTAGGGGGACATCCCTATAAACCCCTAAAGGTATCAGTAAGTAAGTAAAAAGAAAAGTTATTATTCTTACTCACTTATATATGAAATCATAAAGTTATTTGAGTTATTGTCCTTATAGATCGATTCTGAAAATTTATAACGGTAAGTATGGAATAAACGGTTTTATGTTAAACGAATTTATTTAAGAAAACAAATGGCTCCACTAGTTATTTTATAATCTTTATCAACTTTCGTTTTTCTTTGTCAATGATTAATATAATATTTTTATTGGGCTAGTATACCTCATCCCCGTATTTAAGCATTTCATATCAAGATCCAGATCTTAAACAGCAGGAGGGTTGCGAGTAAAAATTACCTTCCAG